ACAATTGTTTGGTAAAATTGGTTGTTTCGAAATGGCTGATAGAGTGTAAATTGAACCAGCCGAATGAATAAGCTGCCCTCCTTAGCTTCTTCAACAATCCATTTTTTCAGCTTTTCAAACTCAACAAGATAATTTTAAAAGCCATTTACCAAACATCATTATTAGCTTCTTTGACCAATCAAACAGCTGAAATGGGTCAAACAAGCTAAAAGCCGGCTGATAAGCCATTTGCCAAACATACCCATTATAAATGTTACACCTACACACGTGTGAGCATATGTAAATGTAACGGATTGTGCGCGAATAAAAGGTGAAGACAAACACAAAGAAAATTAAAATGCAAACCACTATAATTGAAGAAACCTAAGACAACTGTGCGTCTGTGCTCAATAAAATATATGGAATATTGTTCACAACTCTAGTTATTAAGAGATCTTCCATAGTTATATGGAATATTAGTGCACACCTTTAAAATGGACACATCAAAATCATGATGGAGGTGCAGGGATGGGGTGTAACACTTCTCCAACTCATTAATTGATTTTTTTTAGATTTCAACTTGATTAAAACATTTATTTTTTTCCAAACAAAAAACACATTTATTTTTCTTCCCCCCACACTTCTGAAATTCACCAGCTAAGAGAATTTGCATAAGTGCTTAGCTTCAAGTCTTAAAATGCGTTTGGATGATTATAGTAAGCACGCGACTGAACGACACAATGAACTACTCCCTCCGTCCCACTAACAATGGAGTGACACACAAATCTATAAAAAGTGGTTTATGTAGTTGATATTGAATTGATAAAATAAGAATAAACTAAGAATGATTTAGATCCACACAAACTTTACCAAATAAGGTATGAGACAATCTTAGTGAGACGGTCATAAATGATAAAGTGGGACAATCTTAGCGGGACGAAAGTAGTAATTTTTAAGGAAAGATATTGTATAACTAAACAGAGCAAGTATTGTAATGTTCAAATTTAAATGAATTCACGAGCCTGTTTGATAACCTTGTTTTTCGGCTTATCAGGTTTATCAACAATTTTTTCACCAAACACTCAACTTTTTATTTCGCGCGTTGAATTGTGTAATAATAAGACAAAGTAAGGTTGGATTAATTTTTTTGGTTGTATTGTCTCAAACCAATGTTCTAAAAGGCGTTAGGCACTAGTCGGGCGCCAGCCCAGTGCCTAGCGCCTAGTCTGCTAGGCAGGCGCTTAGGCGGGGACTAGTCGGAGACATAGAAATTGTAGTTTTATCAAAAGTTTTGCATAAATATGATTAGTAATATTGTGTTTATGTGTGTATAAAAAATACACACACATATACACATTAACATGCATGAATGATAGAGTCATCACGTTTAATCATATATTATACTGACTCACTAATAGCTTTCTTCATTTGCATTGTCAAAGTTAAAGGTACATATATATCTCTTTTTTGGCAATTCTTTCTAACCTGTTATAGTATATGTTCAATGTTAAGATCAACATCCTTGAACTGTGATGAGATTTGAACCTGTGACCTCCTTCTTGAGAGTGTCACAGTGTTTGTCCTTGTATTCAACAATCAAACAAACAATAATATGATAGAGAAGAGAAGAAGACAACTTTGATTAAATTCAATACCGAGAAATATTTAGAACTACTGAACAAGGTATCGAAATACAAAGCTGCGGCTCTCTCTCTCACACAATGTATGCGTGAATAATCTGAAAGAGTCTTGTGGATCATTCCCTCTAAGGCTATATTTAGGCTAACCGCAACCCTGTTCCGTCAATAAATCAAATTTTCCACCAGTTTATACGTATTCAGTCAGTCAATTCACTTTTTACTGCAATCCAGCACCGTCAATATATTCAGTCATCAAAACTTTTCCTAATTAAAACCTTGTTTTAACTATTATACATTATTTTTTTCTCAATTTTTTTTGCAAATAATTATGATTTTAAAAGTAAAACATTTCGATGTAAAAATAAATAAATTTGAGGTTTAATGTTTTTTGTTAATTTATACCTATTTTCTAAATAAATAACTCAAAGATGTAAAAAAAAAAAATTTACCAATGAAGTCTTAATTTTAGAAATTTAACAAAATATTGAACATAAAAATCTCCAATTGATAAAAACACATATTTTATTTTTTAAATTCTATATAAATAATATTGGTGTCATATGAAAGATAATAAAAAATTATAAATATTGATATAATTTTTATTAAAAAAAATGGATTATAAGTAAAAGGGTTATAATAGATTAAAGATTTTTGGGATTTTTAAAATATTCCTAGCCCACATTTCTAGAGAACCACAAGCCTAGTAATCTGTTCGTGTAGTAGCCTTCTCTCTTTGTGAATGTGCCCTCTCAATTCCCACTCCATGTGTGCTATCTAGCGCAATTTTACACCCATAAAAATACATGGGTTGTAGCAAAAATGGGAGTCAAAACTTCAAAATTATCTTTTCATCCATAGGATTGTGGGTAGCCTTATATGCCTAGAAAATAAGTTGATGTGACCTAAGCATGATTGGACTCCTTTATTTAGGTGGCTCAATAGCACACTTTACAATATTTCGTAATAAGACTAGTCTAATATTAGCTTACAAAGGTGTCAATGGGCCGAAATACATTCGAATCTCATATTAAATATCTAGACAATGTAGTTACACAAATACAAAGATATATAACTAGATTGGACACTATAAAAGTTCCAACATGCAGTGATGTCATCAGACCACAAAGTGCTTGGCGGATGCATATATCTCTTAGGATACTAAAATAAAAAGGCAAAAACAAAATTGTTCGATGAATCTAGACACCTACGTGGTCCATTAAGCGCTCTAGGCGGGCAATTAGGTGCCCTAGGCGGTCGACTAATTCACCTAGGCACCGAATCAATTAGTCGGAGCGCCTAGACTAAAATCGGGGCGCCCGACCACCGCCTAGCACCTAGGCGGGGACTAGTCGAGCGCCTGGAGCGATTTTTAGAACAGTGACTCAAACTACTGCAGATGACAATTTTAGCTACTTTTACATATATTTTTTTCTTTATTTTATTAATAAAAAACTTCATATATTTTAAATATAATTTTTTCATAAATCAGCAAAATCAGTCAATACAGCCACTTCAGGCTTCAGCTAGAATTTCATAAATTTTAGCAGAATCAGTCGATTAAGCCGATTTTAATATCTCCAAACAAGCTTGAGTTGACTTATAAATTTAATGCAATTGTGTCATATGCATGAGTTTTAGACTTTTAGCGTCTATACTCTTGACTCTTGAGGCCAGATGTTGTCTGGGATAAAGGTAAGGACAACATTTTAAGACAAACACTTCTACCATTTGAGATTTTGAGCAGGGCCGTCTAATGAATTTGGAGGCTCTGGTTCAAAATGTAAAAACAGGACCTCACATTAATATAACAAATTTTTGAAAATCTCGATCTAAATACTTATACTCAAATCAATTGAATATTGATTAAAAGAGAACTAAAAGAGTAAAAGAATCAACGGAAAAAATGATGGTTCTATATTTTTCTTCCTTACTTGATAACTATATTTTACTCATTAGTATTAATATATAATACTCCCTCCGTTCTTTTTTAAATGCAACATTGGACTTTTTCCACTATTCACGTGTTCTACTTTGACTCTATTTTATTTATTGATGTATTATAAATTAAATTTTAAAAAAATATTGTTAAATTCTTCTTATTTCAAATTTTCAATATCAATTTTTTTAAATTTTTTTACTAATAAGGAATGAAAGATATTAATAGTCAAACTTGTGCGTTGGCAAACGTGAAAAGTGGACCGTTGCATTTAAAAAAGAACGGAGGAAATATTACTATACAATATTACTAAACTTTTAAAAATTTGTGGCCTCATAAATTTGAGGACTCTGTTCTGGATAACATATTGAACCTCCTAAAATACGACCCTGCATTTGAGGCTAGAATGCCATTAGTTAAGACCTGCGGCCTGCCATTGATAGTTTTTTTTTGACAAGCCTGCCATTGAGAGTTAGTTAATTATGACAATACAAATCATTTTAAAAAGTAGGCATCTTATTGCATCACTCACTGTCCATGCATGGACAATTGTATACGTAGTATAATGATATCTACAATTACAAATCTATCCGAGTTCAAATTTATGATATGTTATGAAACAGTAAACCTAGCGAGTCGCATACAAAAGTGAATATTTTATTAAGGTAAGAGCACATTAGAGTTTACAATTCATGTCTCAACAATTTTCCATATATATGTAAAATATATTGTCTTGCACTATTGTGTAGTTATTGATTTGATAAAATACCAATAACCCACATGTTATAATTTGCATACCATTCTTTACCGGAACAAGTTTCTTACATTACTATAAGTTACATCATCATCATTACCCCAGTGCCTCAAATACCAATAAAATCATTTTATTATATATGTGTAGCCTACGTATTATGACTGCTTTGTTGCATTGAGCAGGCTTTCGTCACTCGTGCTCAGGGCATCATTTAGGAATGTAGTCCGTCTTCTCTGTTTGACGTATCATATATCAATTCATGTTAGTCGATTCCGAATTCTTTTGGGATTAAGGCTTGGATGTTGTTGTATTATGGAGTATATGTGTTGCCATTCCCTAAATTTTGACTGCACAATTTCATATCCATAATCAGTACCGTATGTTAGATGAAACCCAGAACCTTATTTTGAGACAGAGTAGTTACCACTTACCAAAAACCCAACATATGGCTCTGTTACGTAATAAATGGCTTTTAGGTGAGCATTTGGCCTTGCATTTATAATTTGCTGTTTTAGACTATCAAATAACTACTCGAAATGTTTTGTAAAAGCCTACCGAATGACCTAAAGCAACTTAAGTCGTCTGTTCTAAAAAACTTTTTGAACCCCTCATTTATACATTCAAAGAGCTAATAAAACATTTTTGCATAAACAGCTAAAATATAATAAAGGTCAAACAGGTAACGCCAAAGAACTAATCCAAACCGCTAACATGAAAATAGCTGATTGCCGACAACCTTCAGAATTCGGATTGGTTACCGGGCAAATTACTTCCGATCCTAATTACATTGTGAATGACCTACGTAAGCCATAATGGCTCTAACATTGTGTCAAATTAAAAGTTAGCTTGTTAAGGTAAAAAAGGATATAATGTATAAAGAAAAAAATGAGTCTAATGTGACGTCTGGCATTAATCATATCATCATTGTTATGTTGGCAAATTTCCCTCAAACTAAACCCATGTATCATAAGTTATGTTCAAAGAAAATGGAAACAAACAAACTACTTGGACTGACTGGCTGCAAGGTCAAGGATCAGCTGTAGATTTTATAACCATGCGGGTCGTTTCACATTCATGGAATGTTACTTCTTCAGCCCCTTCTTTGATTCATGAATTAGTTTTCTCATTATCCTTGGATAGAGCTTTGCCTGACTTGAGAGTTTTCCCAAGCTTGCTGCCACTGCTTGTACCTGCTTTCTTCGAAGCCCTAAACACATCACTCTTGATGTTTAATAAGCAGATTTCATCTCATATTGCAAAACCGTATTATAGTAAAAGCAAACCTTTTTGAAGATGAGGCACCAGATTCTTTTTTCTTTGAGGTGCCTTTTTTTGCCTTTTCCCCCGCCCTACTCGAAATTACCAGTCAACGTCATAAAACAATTAGGATCATAAAACGGCGAGCAGCTCACGCTTCAGAAAACTTTTCCGTGAATCGAAAATGCTTTGAGCGCGCGCATGTGTGTGTGTGTGTGTTTTCTGGGGAAGAACTGGACTATTAAAAACTTACGTAGTAGACACCAAAGAAGGTGAATCAAATACATGTTCCTGCAAAATGCAGCAAGCAAGTCTTTTAGCAAGAGATATGAACTAATCAGTAATTTTTTTTTTTTAATCAGTAAATCTGTACATAGTTTGTCAATTGGATTAATAAACCAAGAAAGTTTTTAATTCAAGGTGGTCAAATAGAACATATGCCCCTGGAGCTGCACTTCAGAACAGAGAACTAAGATATAGACTAAGGGGAGCTTGAGATAGATTTCTAGAGAGACAATCACAAAGTAAGCTAACATTAGCTCCGATACCATGACAATATGACATGAATCATTATTATCACCCAATCAGGCCATAAGAACCTTAGATCGAAGTATAAGACCACACAAAAAGATTGAATTCAATCTATTAGCTAGTTTAGCTTAAGATCTTATTAACCCATGAGACTCCCTAGAATTTCTGATGTGAGATTCTAAGAAAAGAAAACTCACTTCCTTGACTGAGGCCTCTTCAAGCATTTCCCAGCGTTCAAGGTTGAGGTTCAAGGTTTCAACATCGTTGTCAATGTATTTGATCTGCAGCAGTAGCAGGAATTAAATGAAAATCAAAGAAAGATATCATAGGAAGCCGGCATACATTACACCTGCTTGATATTGTTTCATAAATATTGGGACACCACCCATATGCCCTCTAGTAAAAACGGTTAAGTCATCCAAATATAAAGATACAAAAACACATACGGAGTATTAGTCTTTGGTCTACTTCTCAAACTTGGTTTATGTTTTTAAATGAAACCCCAAATCTAGAAAAAAAAACATCCTCCTATTAAGACTCGGGCTTCCATCCTGAAAGGTTAGTTTAATAAGAGAAGTAGCCTAATACTTTGGTTAGTTTCTATCTTTATACTCGACTGGTGTGGGATAGCTTAATATGCTTCTGCAAGATGGTGGCTCGTTGGAGCAGACCAATCTTGTAGTCCGTGAGCTCATTGTTGAAGCTTATCAAAATCTAATGACTCGTTGGAGCTTAATCGTCTTTGATACCATATTATGAGCCGAAGTTTCATCCTAAAAGGTCAACCTAATAGGAGAAGTAGCCCAATGCTTCATATATTAGTTTCCATTTTTATACTCGGCTGTGTGGGATAGCATAATACTTCAATGGGTTCCATGTACTGTTGAAGGAGAATCTTCGCTATTATTTCAACCGTCTTCTCTATTATCATTAACCCAACACAATACATGCATGGAAAACCTCCACTGGCTATGAAGGATTCGACTCTTACTATTGAAGGCAAGCCCTAAATGGAAAATTGATCTGCTGCATTATTCATGTGAAACCCTATGGAAACATTGATCAAATGCACTTTGTTTCTGTATAATAAGAAGTCATAGATTGTGTCATAAATTTTTAATTACTTTCTTTCTTTCTATTATAATAAAATTGGTTGTCAAAATCTACAGATGATGAAGCGACTTTATGATCCAATATCACTATGGCACATAACCAAACGCCCAGCCTCTCAATTTGTATCCAATGGTCACTCTGGCTAAAAATAAGATCGACAAACCAACACAGTTCCACATCCTAATCACACCCATCACATTCTGACATCCCACAGCCAAACGCTTTCACCATTCACGTTCTCCACACTCTTGCACTCAACTCTGAAAGTTGCTTGTACTCACCAAGTATTAAATAAGAAGCCTACTACACTTTCATAATTCTCTACATGTAGTTGGATATTTGGCTTCTGTTCTCTAAATAAATATATTTATTTATTGAAAAAAATTAAATGTGAGAAACTTGTTACGAGTCAGGACGGGTTGAAGGTTGAAAAGAAACAGGTGAAATGTGATGATGTTAGTGATTTGCCTTAGAAGCTGGTTATATAGAACAATTTCACCCTAAATAACATCCCCCTAAAATAATTGACTTTCATCTTGCATGCAATGAAGGAAGTAGGACATTCAGAGTGTAATATAGGGAATTATTATATTACACCAAAATATTAGCATGCTGGGGATTTACCTTGTGTTTCTTCGTCTCAGGGTCAAAAGAAGAAATTGTTCCCTTATAAAACCTGAACGGACAAAAGGTTAGAACATATGAAATCAAATTGTTGCAAAATATACAAGACAATTTGATAAGCTCATCTTAGCTTATAAAAATACATCATCCCTCCATCCTGAAACAATCTTGTTGGTTGCATTTTCTAACTGTCCCAAAATAATCTCGCATATTTCTTTTTCAGGAAAGGAATGTGTGGTTGATACTATTTCACTCATTTCAACCTATATCTCAACCAGACTTCTTAACATTTATCCATCTTAAGTAGTTAAGTCCTTACTTTCGGTCAAGGGGCCACCAAACTCTTATTATAGCACCAATCAACTCTTCTCCATAATCCTTACCAACAGGGTGGTTTTTAGAATCCTGTATATGAATAAAAACCATAAGCACACATCTTGTTATATTGTCTGATGATGGTAATAACATATTTTTTAGGAAAAGAGAAAATAGGATAAGACACCATCCTTTTAAAATATTTGTACAAATTCAATGCTGAGAGGAAGTTTTTTAACAATTTAAAATCCATCATGGAACAAAGTTCAATAGTGAAATACAATAGGGAAAGTTCCCAAAATAGGACTAAAACAGTTTGAAAATTCCAAAATAAGACTGTCATGTTTTTTATTCCCAAAATAGGAGTAATTACTGCCAAGTTTGGAAAATACTGCCATGTTTGAAGTCTGGTACTGCCAAAACATGACAGTAATTAGTCCTATTTTGGGAATAAAAACATGGCAGTCTTATTTTGGAATTTTCAAACATTTTTAGTCCTATTTCGGGTAATATCTCAATACAATATAGCATTTCTAGGAAGGAAGTTAATGGAAGTCTCGTCGTAGAAATGTGACAGAGAACTGCCCGTATTTACTAAATGCGACTTGAAGGAAACAGTTTTTATCTTCAAAAATGTCCAAAACAAGCCCGTTAGAGATTCCAAATCAGTTTTAGATGAACAATAAATTTAAGTAAAACAACATTGTTTAATAGTGGAATACTACTAAAATATAACATCTGTAAAAAGAAAGTAAATAGAAGTCTCATCTTAAATGCAACTTCTATAAAGGAACTTATTTTCTATTGAACTTCCAAGAGGTCAGCTGCGCACTCATAATGAGTTTTAAATGAAGAGTAATGTTTAGTATGCCCTAATTTTCACTTTCAAAAACTGGCACCATAGAACATCTGTAAAACAAAATCTTAAAATTTTGACTAAGAGTCTAAGACAACCGCTGTTGCTGAGAGTCTAGACAACCGCTATTGCTAAATGCTTCTTGCACAGAGAATTTATTTTATAGAAAAAACCGCACTTTAAAAATCCAGTTTGTCAATTATACTGCACAGGAATTTGGATTAGATGAGGAGCTTTACTTGTAATCTCCTATCGAAAGATCAAATGCATCAAACACTCTCCCTTAACATCATTACCATTTATTATCCTTAAAGTTGCTATATTCAACAATATTGACAAAAGGGATAAGCTACATAACATATGCTACTTGCCTTATTAATTGAAATCTCAAAAGATTAAAAAATCACTAGGGGAGAACTGGTCGAAAACGCAATAAATGATACTACCTTCGTCCCACTAACATTGGGACAAGGGGGGGGTGGCACGATTATTAACAAAAGTGAGTTTATGTGGTTGATATTGAATTGATAAGTAAGAATAAAGTAAAAATGATTTAGAGCCACACAAACTTTACCAAATTTGGCATGGGACAATCTTAGTGGGATTTCCCGAAAAGGTAAAATGGGACAATCTTAGCGGGATGGAGGAAGTACTATTTTTTTATATATATTTATGTACCAGTATTAAATATAATGTGATGCACAAGTGATAGGTAATGTGCGGGAATCAAAATTGAATTTCGAGTGTTGTGTATAGTGCATGGCATTTCTACGCAAAATGACTCAAATGACTAAAGCTCTGTTTTGTTAAATAGTTATAGATCATATATAATCTCATCATAGTTTTAGTAATATCAGGGTTTTCTATTATTATTAGGTTTAAGGTTTAGGTTTCTCAATTCTCTTTAGGTTTAGGTTTCTTACTCCTACCGGGTTTAGGTCTATTATTTCTCAATAGATGCATTTTGATAGTCTGTAGCTATTATCAATTGGTAAATTTAAACAAAAGTAAAAATTTATTCTTGTTTGTGGTCTCTTCAGATTTGAAGCAATTTTGGTAATTGTTTGACAAAATCGGCCTCTAACCTACACAAAAAAATCTAATGTTGTTGAAACCGCCCATGCCACTAGGGTTGAGTGTTGGATATTACTTCAAACTTTTAATGAGCATCACTTCAGGAAGAAGATAGGGAGAGGGAAGGGAGAAGAAGCAGAAGATGAAAGTTGAAGTCAGTAATGGATCCAGTAAATTTAATGTTATATTAGAATTAAGTTGAAATTCAAGTTTAGATACTAAAGTTGGCTCCCCTCCAGTTCAGAAGTTCAAGTTCAAGTGCAGATGGTCAAGTGGACACCAGTTCAGTTCAAGAATAATTAGCAGTTCAAGTTTTTTTAGAGGCTAAGGTCTGTGTAACAAGCTTGAAGCATTTGATGCTCCAGCTCGAGGGGGTGCAAAATTAGAAATAGTAATTCATTTATCCTAGTTTTAGAGGTATTATATAGTTTCCTATTCCTATTGGATTTTAGGTTTAGATTTCCTTATTTGTTTAGGTTTAGGTTTCCTATTCCTACTGGACTGGGGTCCATTAATTCTTTATTTAAGCATTGTAATAGTATCTAGAAAGAAAGGGAATAATAATTAAAATACCCAAAACTTTGAAGGTGAGTGAGATAAACACCCCAAACTTTCATATGTAATTTAAATACCACAAAGTTTTTATAAAAAAATTATTTTAACACCATGGTCATGTATTATCTATTTCAAAAATGCAAATTTATGGTGTTAATTGCATAATTTAAAATTGCAAATTGAAAACGTTGCAATTATATAGAGTGGGGGGGTAATACTTTTTATTTTACAATGGAAGTTTAGAATGTTAATTGTATCTTCATGAATGCTAAAAAATTTAAATTATGAAATTAACATAAAAATTAACATTTTTGAAAGAAAAAATACATGACCATGGTGCTAAAATAACTTTTTATATAAAGTTTGGGGTATTTTAATTATTTTTCCCTATCTAGAAATTATCAACTTGTAAGATTTAAAGTGATGTCACTAAAAGTAGTAGTTTATTTATCATTCAACGTTATGAATATAGCTAATAAACTAAAAACACCTATATTCTATTTTCCCAAACTTATAGTATAGAAGATAACTCTAATTAGTACTCCGTATAAATTTAAACATGTATGGTACATTTGGGAATGAGAATAGGTTTAATAGAGAGAGGTAATGGGTACCTGCCATTTGGGAGGGTTAAGGCTCAATAACAAAAAGTTGGGAATGAAACCCATAGTGCAACATTATCAAGCATAAACTACCATTCCTCGTTCCCAATCCTTCCCACCAAGCACCCCCTTAAATAGTGACATGTCATGTTCTAGCAAGGCGCTCTATGCTCTAGAAACTTTCCTTCTTCAAAAACTAACATGGCATGCTTAGGTGGCACACTATATGCTAACAAAAATGTCCTCATACACAACACCCCCATAAACATTTATTGCTTTTAGGCATGTCAATGGGGGATACTGGTTACTACCAATATGATATCTTCCCTAATATGGTATTAATCAGAGATAGAAGAGAAAGAGACAGACCAAACTACCAAAGCTTATACTTGGACTGCATAAAAAACAAAAAGGATAGGGTAGTTCAATCGTTCACTCCAAGTTAATGTTGTAAAGAAATGCAAACGCAAAAGTGCTACAGGGTTTTAGGCAAAGATGAGTTTAGTTGAGCACACTTATGTTGAAGTACTTAGAAAAATGAAGAGATAGAATCACTTGATCAAGGTTACCATCACCAGCAAAACCTGCATGTACCATTAAGTAGTACCTTTTCTTTGTTCAAAACTTCCTTCCTCTTGCGCTTGGTTCTTGTGCTTGTATTTTGGAGTTCATTTTTTTGAGCATGTGGCTTCTCTAAGTCACTGATTCCTCCTCCTCCTTTTTCTTCTTCTTCTCCTTCTTCCTTTATTTTAACTACACCGGAAGTTGCCTCGTTATCATTGCATGGACTCTTGCCCAGTTTTCCTTTGAAAGATCGTGCACCTTTAGATCCATTTCTCTCTGTCATCACTGACTTGTGCTTTTCAGTTTTGGGTGGCAAAGGTGACACCCCTGAAGTAGCATCCTCAGATTGATTCTCATGTTCCTTGTTATTATTTTCGCTGTCTTTAACACACTTTTCACTTCCATTAATACCCAAACAATCTTGTTCCGTTCTAGGTTCAATTTTCTCTGACATTCCTTCTATAGTAGATATGGCACCACCTTTTTCCGCCTGAACATGAAACTTTAGATTATTACTGTATATATTAGAGAGAGAAAGAGAAACACAACACCACCAATAGAAAATGATTGTTAATCAAGTAGTATATTGAAGAGTTCTTCCTTCCCAACCAAATACTTCAAAGAAAAAAGTAGAGGGCATCGCTAGCTACTCCTTTTAATTGATTAACTATAATGAGCTTATTAGCACATATAGCCTCCAATAGCAGAAATGAGTCAATGGTGTAAAAAAGTAGTATGGCCTTTTAACGCCAAGGCAATAATACTTCCACAAAAATGTATTACAAATACATGTGAATAAATTACATTAATTGACAGAATAGAAAGACAAATAAATTATATGATGCATGCATTTCATAGGCTCAAACTCCTGCAGAAAGTTTAATTCTGAAATTAAAGTTAACTATGAAGACAGTCAATGGACAAAATCACAAAATTGCATGCAATCAAGAATGATAGAACTAGAGTGGTCAAGTTGTTGAGCTAAAGATAAATTAGATCAGACTACAGTTTATTAAGCTGTTCTTTAGCTTAGAAATTTCTCACCTAAAAAGTGTTGAAGTAAACTTGTGTCACTATTGTTGGTGTTATGACCCTAGACATCTTACAAATATAGGTTTATAGGTTAATTGGTCAAAAGAAAAAGAAAGTTGCAGCAAGTAATAATTGAATATATGGAGACAATCTCCAAGGTACACTAATACTACGTCTAAGATCGGTCACCACTTTTGACAAACTTTCAATTGAATCACCCACTGTTAGTTATCATGACCTTCTCAAAACCAATTCCTGATAAATGAGTGAGCATTATCCAAGTGACCACATATGTTTGTAGTCTCAGTTAGAGATGCTTTACAGCTGTATATATGCTACATATATGTTTAATTAAAGGAGATTTTAGTTTATTAGTAACGATTATACACTTTACTGGTTTAGCTATGATACTCTTATGTACTCGATGTTCTCTGTTCAATATAAGAGACAAAAAACATTCCATACATTCTTCTCTAATAACATGGTATCAGAGCCAATGCTCAAGATACAACCCTGATTAAGCCCATCAGAAATATTGTCACCCGTGAAACCCTAGACTAGCATTTAGCCGATTTCCATTCTGTACACGGCCATCCCTATTGTTTATTTACTATACAGATCAAGTAAATCGAAGGCCTCAGTCCGTGGGTTGAAGAATCTGTTCAGGGTTTCTGCTCATCGTGAAAGTCGTCACAGACCACCGCCATCCCTTTGTTCCAGCTCCTGTCAAAACAGATCCCTAGCTTCCTTCTGCTCAGAACCTTCTCTTATTTTTTTCTAAATGGGAGATGGTGCAAAACCAAATGATGCTATAATCCCTAGGCCCCTAGAATTATTAATCATTCTGCTTCTCTGAAAATACCGGTTAAACTAAAATCAACTAATGAGGCACAATGGAGTATGTTTGTTCAAACCGGCCTTAAAAACTTGGATAAAGATGCATATCTGAATCAGGGGTCCTCCAAACCCTAAAACATGGAAGCTTGATAATAGTGGAATTAGAATGGCTTTCTGGAATGCTATGGAACCTCAAATTTTGAGTATTGCTCAAAGAAGATGCGGGAACACTTGCAGTCCTCAGGAAAAGAATCTCTGTACCACATGTACTCTATGTTTAAATCTTATTTCAGATTTAAGCAGGTTGATTCAGACCTTACTGAATACGTAGTATTATACAAGGCTGTCCTTCAGTACAAGTGTTGAACGTTCCAATCTTATTTTGTTCTGTAAAATTCTTTAAAAAACTAAGAAAGAACTGCACGAAGTCAGGTCCGTTTTGTTTTATAAAAGTTTACCATATTAACTTAATTTAAAAACTCTTGAAAAGGGAAAAGCTGCAGAAAGTACCACATTTATTTTAAAAAAACATGTGTTATAAAAATTTAAAGAAACGAGCACAACTGCACAGGAATACCACTTTTTGTTCCTTCTATAAATTAAGTACATATAGAGTTACCTCATCATCCTTGCATGAACCCTTGCCCTGTTTTCCTTTGGAAGACCTAGCCCCTTTAGATCCACTTCTCACTGTCATCTCTGACTTTTTCTTATTCGGTTGGGCCCTTCTGTGAGTATGCTTCTTAGTTTCGGAAGGCAAAGGTGACTCCTTTGAAGTAGCATCCTCAGATCTCTTCTCATGTTCTTTCTTGTTTTTATTATTATTATTCTGAGGTTCTTCAACATAGTTTTCACTTTCACTCATACCCAAACAATCACGTTCCTTACTGGGTTCTCTCTTCTCTGGCAGTCTACTAAGATAAACTTGCTGTTGCAAATCTTTAGTATTTTCGCGGACTTCAGCAGGCTTATCGGCACCTTTTAGCTGCTCAGTCTGACTGCCACACTCTGCCTTCAATGGTGGTCCAATAGGCTCCTGGTTAATGTTGTCAATAATCATTGATTTAGGAGTGACATTAGGTAGCTGAACATCAGATGTTTCTTGTATAGCAGATACAGCACCACCTTTCTTGACCTGATCATGAAACTTTAGATTATTACTGTATATATTAGGGAAAGAGAGAGAAAAACACCACCACCAATAGCACAAGATTATTAACCAAGTAGTATATAGAGAGAGTGCTTCTTCCGAACCAAGTACTTCAAACAAAAAAATAGAGAGTATCTTTAATATTCTTTTCAAAAGGGAATAACCATAATCAGTACATACAGCCTCTGATAGAGACACTAAGTCATACTGTGTAAGTGTGCAACTTTTAAAGGTTAATTCATAAATACTTCTGCAAAAAGAAAATTATTGCAAATGCGTGTGAATCTTTTATACTTCGTATAAATTGGTAAAATAAAAAGGCAAAAGAATTATTAAGATGCACGCACATCACAGGCTCAAAGCCTTATGGCAACAATTTAAATGCGAAACTAGAATTAACTAATAAGACAGTGTGGACAAAATCACGAAATTGCATAGAATCTTGAGTGTTCACATTGTAAAATTCTAAGAAAAATTAGAACACTTAAAGTTTATCAAGTTGTTCTTTTGCATAGAAGTTGAATTTTCTCGCCTAAAAAGTGCAGTTGTATACTTGTACCACTAATGTTGGTAAAAATAAAAACCAAACCTGTGGTGACATTCCCCAAGGTTACACAACTACTGTGTTCTTATAATCTTATGTGTACTCAAAAATAAAAACATAATAAAGTATTTAAGACCATTTATTGAAGTAACTAAAGGTAACAATAGTAGACTGAAAGCATCACAAGGATTAATCTTTAGCTAATGCAAGAGGATTAATCCCAACAATGCTGTATACAGAAGGGCTAGAACTTAGAATGAGTAGGCTAATTACAGATATACAGAAGACTAGTCTATTCTAGAGTGCTTTTTAGGGTGGAATCCTAGTAACAGACCACAAAGTGGGAATAATATAGCTAGCTGACTTAGTTTCGGTGACAACAAAGGACCTCGTTGTGCAACAAATGACTCTTATGTGACCTACAGTAGAGTGACATGTGGTGCAGCAGGATCACTTGACCATTCTGCTAATCAGGATGGTGATAACCTTGCTGTCTATATACTAATTATATGAAATATGAGTACTCCATTTGCATTACCGACAACTATACATAACATGTGATGGGACAGAATCAAGATGATCCCATGTCTATCTACTGGAAACTAAAGTAGGTAATTCCTTGCAAAAGCATATCTTTCTTAACAACTACAATTAATAGGCAGTTTTGGTCTGCCCTTTCATCTACATTATGAAACTACCCATCACTCATTCAACTTAGGTACAAGTGTTGATGTGCCCATCTTATGTTGTTCTGTAAAAATCTTCTAAAGTGCAAGAAAGAACTGCACGAAGTAAAAAAAAATGAAATGAGCACGGCAATGTCTGATAGAGATAATAGGTTTCATACCTCCCATTTGTAAGGGAACAAAAGTTGGGAAAAAACCTATATTGAAACTGTTGAAATATAAACTAGAATAATATTTAAGATGGAGAGAATGATTTTCTGTGTTTTTCATTGAAGGTTTAAGTCCCTATAAATATACATTACAAATAGAATATTCCTATACAAGATTCTATACAATAATAATATCCTAAAGTATATACTTTAGAATATTCTGAAGTATATTATAATATTCTAAAGTATATTCTATATCTTTTATATCTTTCACACTCCCCCTCAAGTTGGAGCATAGATATTTATCATGCCCAACTTGTTACATAAATAACCAACTCGGATCCCATTTAGTGCTTTAGTGAACAAATCTCCAAGTTGTTCTCCAGTCTTCACATATCCTGTAGAGATCAATCCTTTTTGTATCTTCTCTCGAATAAAATGACAATCAACCTCAATATGCTTTGTTCTCTCATGAAATACTGGGTTGTTGGCAATGTGTATGGCAGCCTGATTATCACACCACAATTTAGCAGGCATTGGTGTCTTCAATCCGATTTCACCCAATAAATGGCCTATCCATATGATCTCACATGCAGATTGTGCCATAGCTCGGTATTCTGATTCGGCACTCGAACGAGAAACCACACTCTGTTTCTTACTCTTCCAGGATACTAGGTTTCCTCCAACAAAGACACAATACCCCGAGGTAGATCTTCGATCATCTTTAGATCCTGCCCAGTCAGCATCAGCAAAACATTCTATTCTCATGTGGTCGTGATTTTGATAGACAATCCCGCGTCCTGGTGCTCCCTTCAAGTAACATAATATATGTTCTACAGCAGCCCAATGGTCAATGGTCGGAGATGACATATATTGACTCACTACGCTTACAGAGTAAGCAATGTCTGGACGAGTGACTGCGAGATAGTTAAGCTTTCCAACCAATCTTCTGTACCTTTCTGGGTCTTCGAATGGTATGCCTTCTGAAGTGAGTTGCACATTGGGAACCATGGGAGTTGTGTTTGGCTTTGCTCCCAATTTCCCTGTTTCAGTTAGTAAATCAAGTACATATTTACGCTGAGATAGAAATATGCCTTTCTTACTTCGTGTTACCTCAATACCTAGAAAGTATTTCAATGAGCCTAGGTCTTTTGTTTGGAATTGGCTATGAAGAAAATTCTTAAGAGCCAAAATACCTGCAGTATCACTTCCTGTAATCACAATATCATCGACATACACCACAAGCAATGTGATACCTGCTTTCGTTTTTCTGTAAAAGACAGAGTGATCTGATTGACCTTTTATCATTCCAAACCGTTCAATGGATTGACTGAATTTCCCAAACCATGCACGAGGACTCTGTTTCAGACCATAAAGAGATTTGCGAAGTCGACAAACTTTCCCATACTCCCCCTGAGCAACAAATCCCGGAGGTTGATCAATATAAACTTCCTCCTGAAGGTCACCATGCAAGAATGCATTTTTAATGTCCAACTGGTGTAAGTGCCAATCATGAGTTGCAGCGAGTGAGATAAGTAACCTGACAGATGTTAATTTAGCAACAGGAGAAAAAGTGTCAGAATAATCAACACCATAGGTTTGAGCATAACCCTTTGCAACCAATCGAGCTTTCAATCGAGCAACAGATCCATCTGGATTAACCTTCACAGCAAAGACCCACTTACATCCAATAGACTTCTTCCCTGAAGGCAAGTCTACCAAATCCCAAGTACCATTAAGATCCAAAGCATTCATTTCCTCTACCATGGCATGACGCCATTCAGGATGAGACAAAGCTTCTTTAACAGATTTGGGAACAGAAATAGAATCAATGGAAGCAACAAAAGAACATGAGGCAGGAGATAACTGACTGTATGACACAAATGAGGAAATAGGATGAGTACAAGACCGTGTACCTTTACGTAGTGCTATCGGGAGGTCAAGATCAGATGTAGAGACAAGATCTGAATATGCAGGTACTGGTTCAGGACATGAGATCGAAGTCGGACTAGTATCAGGATATGTAATCACAGGTGTCACAGGTGGAGAGTGATCTTGTGCTTTGTGTCGACGGGTGTAAACCAAGTGTACAGGAGGTCTAGGGTCAGGAACAGTGACATTCGGCATAGTTACTGAAGGTGTGGTCTCAGGTATAGTAACTGTGTAAATGAGTATTTCATCGTTGTCCTCATGAATATCTGTCTTGGATGATGAAAAAGGTGTATTCTCATGAAATGAGACATCAATAGAAATAAGATATCGACCTGTACTTGGACAAAAACATCTATACCCCTTTTGAACTCGAGAATAACCTAAGAAAATACATTTCAATGACTTGGGGTCCAATTTCGTCCGATGAGGGTTAACATCTCTAACAAAACAAGTGCAACCAAATATTTTAGGTGGAATAGGAAAAAGTTCTTTATTTGGAAAAAGACATTGATAAGGAGTTTTACCATCCAAAACAGAAGATGGCATACGATTGATCAAAAAACATGAAGTAGACACAGCATCAGCCCAAAACTGTTTAGGCACATTCATTTGGAATAGAAGAGCCCTTGCAGTTTCTAACAGATGTCGATTCTTTCTTTCAGCAATTCCATTTTGAGGAGGTGTGTCTACGCATGAAGTTTGATGAATAATGCCATGTTGAAGCATAAAAGATTTAAATGGAGCAGATAAATATTCTTGGGCATTGTCTCCCCTTAACATACGAACAGGAACATTAAATTGAGTTTTAATTTCAGCACAAAATGCAGAGAAATGAGTAAATACCTCGGATCGACGCTTCATAAAATACACCCATGTCATACGAGAATAATCGTCAACAAAAGTGACAAAATATTTGAAACCAGGTATGGACACAACTGGACATGCCCCCCCAAACATCAGTATGGACAAGATCAAACGGAGCATTTGCTCGTTTATTAAGTCGAGGACTTAAACTAGTGCGATGATGTTTAGCAAACTCACACGACTCACATTGTATAGAAGACACCTTATTAAACTGAGGATATAATTGCTTCATTAGTGAGAGAGATGGATGTCCTAATCGGTAATGAGCTTCTAATAGATTTCCAACCCCAAGGCAAGAGATACCTTTTGTAATTGATGTATCCAAAATATAAAGACCAGCTGACTCATGTCCTTTACCAATAATCTGCTTCGTTAACAGATCCTGAAACACACAATATCCAGGAAAAAATGTTACAGAACAGTTAAGAGTACGAGTGATTTTACTGATGGAAAGCAGATTAAATGCAAAATTAGGAAGACTCAAAACAGACGATAATGGTAATGTAGAAGTTGGAACAACAGTACCAGATCCAAGAACGGGTGAGGTAGATCCATCAGCCAAAGTGACACTAGAAGTAGGTAAATATGAATGAAATGACGAGAATAGACTAGGATTACCGGTCATATGGTCTGTGGCACCTGAGTCAATGACCCATTTCGAAGAAGATGAAACAAGACATGTGTTTGAGATACCTGAATTGGCGATTACCGAGGTAGGAGCAAAAGAATGCTTTAGAGATTCTTTGCAGCACATAACTTTGGCATCAGATGAAGTGGTAGCGGAAGCAGTAGTCGAATTTCCTTGATTTTTGAATGCCAATTTTCTACACTCTTTGATCAAGTGTCCGGGCTTCTTGCAGTAATTGCATATTATTCCTCTGTCAACTCGACCCGTACAAGACATTTTTTTTTTCTTTTGGATTTTTTTTTCTTTCCTTTTTTTTTTTTAATAATGAGTCAGCAAGTAAATAGAAAAATGAGATGATTAGTGAAAAAACTTACAGCAACTTCCCCCTTTTTTTTTGTGGACTCAATTTCGAAACTAAAATATCTGTACCCAAAATATCCAGCTTGCACTCAAAAGTTACGGCGTTGACTCCAGAGTTATGCGAGACCCCAGCACGTGCGAACAAATTAGTGAAGGAGCGGAGCGGAAGTGAGAACGCCTGCAACGACCAGAAGAATTTCGTCTCCTACGGCGGAGTTGGTGGCATGAGTGGAATCGGAAGTAACGGCCTCCCCTTCGGCGGCTTTGCCAGTGGCGCGGATGTCCACAGATATGCGCGACCCCAGCAGATTGCGAACAACTAGACGAAGGAGCGGATGTCCGTCCACAGATATGCGCGACCCCAGCACGTCAGCGACCAGACTTTCTCCCACTGTCTCACAAATATCCGTCCCTTGTTGCCTTGCTGGAGCAAGAACGAGGGACTCTCAGGCGAGTCTGTGGAAGAGTTCCGATCAAATCTCCGGACAGAAAAGATGTATTAATTGTGGGAATTTCTACGGGAAGATGGTTGGAGGTTCTGGGAAGTAGGAGGTTCTGGGAAGAGGTTCTGAGATTTGGAGGTTCTGAGAAGCTAAAATTTCTGGGCTGATGTTCTGAATAACCGGTCTGAAAACTAAATGAGATATGAAAAACTAGACTAAAAAAAATTGAAAACTAAACTGAATTGGATGGCTCTGATACCATGTTGAAATATAAACTAGAATAATATTTAAGATGGAGAGAATGATTTTCTGTGTTTTTCATTGAAGGTTTAAGTCCCTATAAATATACATTACAAATAGAATATTCCTATACAAGATTCTATACAATAATAATATCCTAAAGTATATACTTTAGAATATTCTGAAGTATATTATAATATTCTAAAGTATATTCTATATCTTTTATATCTTTCACACTATCAGCATAGACTTACCATTCCTATTCCCATCCTTAAACCTCCTTACCAAGCACCACGCCATCAAATAGTGACATGTCATGTTTAGGTGACACAATATATGCTAACAAAAAGGTCCTCCTTAATATATGTATGCGCATATGTATACATGTGTGTGTATCATACACACATACACTCATTTTTTATCATGTCACTGAGGATAGTATTTACTTATACAATATCTTGACTGGAAAACCAAAGAAAAAGACAGGGTAGTTCAATTGTCCACGGCAAGTTAATGTTGCCATGCACTTAAATAATGAAATGCAAACACAAACTGGGTGCAGGATTTAAGGAAAAGATGAGTTCAGTTGAGCAGACATAAGTCAAATTACTTAGCAAGCTAAAGGATAAAATCACAGGTTCAAGGCTACCCTGACCAGCAAAACCTGCAAGCACCATTACAGCAGTACCTTTTCTTTGTTCAAACCTTGCTTCCTCTTGCGCTTGGTTCTAGTGTGTGCATTTTGGAGATCATTTTTTTGAACAGGAGGCTTCTCCTCCACCTCACTGACTACTTCATCAACTTCCTTCTTTGTGTTAACTACACCGGGAGTTACCTCGTCATCATTGCATGAACCATTGCCCTGTTTTCCTTTGGAAGATCCATTTCTCTCTACCATCTCTGACATATGTGTTTCAGTTTTGAGTGGCAAAGGTGACTCCCCTGGATTAGCACCCTCAGATTGCTTCTCATGTTCCTTGTCATTATTATTGGCTTCTTTAATACACGCTTGACTTCCATTTGTTCCCAAAAAATCTTGTTCCTTTCTAGGGTCTGTCTTCTCTGCCGATCGACTCAGATCTACTTTCTGTTGCAAATCTTTAGTATTTTCATGGATTTGATCAGCTGTCTTATCGCCATCTTTTAGCTGCTCAGCCTGATCACCACACTTTGCCTTCAATGGTGATCCAACAGGTTCCTGATTACTGCTGCCAATATTCATTGCCACAGGAGTTATATCAGGTAGTTGAGCATCAGATATTCCTTCTATAGAAGATAGAGCAACACCTTTTTCCACCTGATCATGAAACTTTGGATTATTACTCTATATATTAGAGAAAGAGAACACCACCAATAGCACATGATTTTTAATCGAGTAGCATATAGAAGAGTGCTTCCTTCCTAATCAAATGCTCCAAAGAAAAATTGAGATCATCCTAACCTACTTTAAAATGTGATTAACTATTATTAGCACATATAGCATCCAATAGAGGCACTGAGTGTTAAAAAGAACTTTTTCCTTTCAGTGTTAAAGGCATCTGAAATGGTGATCCAAGAGGTGCATATGAAAATGTTACATAAATCGGTGGAATAGAAAGACAAATAAACTATCTGATGCATGGATATAACAGGTTCAAACACTTACAGGGTTACAGAAACAGTTAAAATGAGAAATTAAAGCTAACTACGAAGACATCAATGGACAAGATCCAAAATTGCATAAAAAAAGAAAAATAGAACTAGCGTGGTCAGGTTGTTAAGCTAAATATAAATTAGATTAGATTAAAGTTTATGAGGTTGTTCTTTAAGTAGAAACACGAATAAAGTGTTATGGTAAACTTGTATCACTACTGTTGGAGTTATAATCCTAAGCATCTTACAAATGTAGATTGATTGGCCAAAAGAACAAGAAAGTTGGGGCAAGTAAAAACTGAATGTATGGTGACACTCCAAGGTAAGGGGTGGTTCAATGACTGAAAGTTTGAAACAAAACCCATATTGAAACTATCAAGCATAAACTACCATCCCTATTCCCAAACCTCCATACCAAGCACCCCGTAAAATAGAGATATGTTCTTGAATAGTGACATGTCATGTTTTGGCGAAAGTGTGACACACTATGTTAACAAAAGGTCTTCCTTAATATATGTATGTGTATATGTATAGATATGTGTGTGCGTGTATGACACATACATAAATTTATTACTTATAATCATGTCATTGGGGATAGTATTTACTTATATAATATCTTGGCTGAATAAAAAACAAAAAGATAGGGTACTTCTATTGCCCATTGAAGGTTAATGTTGTAATGTAATTAAGTAATGAAATGTAAACACAAACTGGATGCAGGGTTTAAGGAAAAGATGAGTTCAGTTGAGCAGACATAAGTCAAATTACTTAACAAGCTGAAGGATAAAATCACAGGTTCAAGTCTAGCCTGACCAGCAAAACCTGCAAGGACCATTACAGTAGTACCTTTTCTTTGTTCAAAGCTTGCTTCCTCTTGAGCTTGGTTCTAGTGTTTGCATTTTGGAGATCATTTTTATGAACAGGTGGCTTCTCCACTTCACTGACTACTTCATCGACTTCCTTCTTTGTGTTAACTACACCGGGAGTTACCTCGTCATCATTGCATGAACCATTGCCCTGTTTTCCTTTGGAAGATCCATTTCTCTCTGCCATCTCTGACATATGTGTTTCAGTTTTGGGTGGCAAAGGTGACTCCCCTGGAGTAGCACCCTCAGATTGCTTCTCATGTTCCTTATTATTATTGGCTTCTTCAATACACGCTTGACTTCCATTTGTTCCCAAACAATCTTGTTCCTTTCTAGGTTCTATCTTCTCTGGCGATCGACTCAGATCTACTTGCTGTTGCAAATCTTTAGTATTTTCATTGACTTGATCAGCTGGCTTATCAGCATCTTTCAGCTGTTCATCATCATTGACTACACCGGGAGTTGCCTCGTCATCATTGCATGAACCATTGCCCTGTTTTCCTTTGGAAGATCCATTTGTCTCTGCCATCTCTGACATCTGTGTTTCAGTTTTGGATGACAAAGGTGACTCCCCTGGAGTAGCACCCTCAAACTGCTTCTCACATTCCTTATTATTATTGGCTTCTTCAATACACGCTTGACTTCCATTTGTTCCCAAGCAATCTTGTTCCTTTCTAGGTTCTATCTTCTCTGGCGATCGACTCAGATCTACTTGCTGTTGCAAATCCGTAGTATTTTCATGGACTTGATCAGCTGGCTTATCAGCATCTTTTAGCTGCTCAGCCTGATCGCCACACTCTGCCTTCAATGGTGATCCAACAGGTTCCTGATTACTGCTGCCAATATTCATTGCTACAGGAGTTATATCAGGTAGTTGAACACCAGATACTCCTTCTATAGAAGATACAGCAATACCTTTTTCCACCTGATCATGAAACTTTGGATTATTAATCTATATATTAGAGAAAAAGAACACTACCAATAGCACATAGTTGTTAATCAAGTAGCATATAGAAGAGTGCTTCCTTCCTAAGTTAGTAATGAAATGGAAACACAAACTGGATGCAGGGTTTAAGGAAAAGATGAGTTCAGTTGAGCAGACATAAGTCAAATTACTTAGCAAGCTGAAGGATAGAGTCACAGGTTTAATGTTACCCTGACTAGCAAAACCTGCAACCACCACTGAAGTAGTACCTTTTGGAGATCATTTGGTTGAACTGGTGCCTTCTCCACCTCACCCACTGTTTCGTGTACTTCCTTCTTTGTAACTACACTGGGAGTTGCCTCATCATCCTTGCATAAACCCTTTCCCTGTTTTTCTTTGGAAGGTCCATTTCTCTCTGTCATCTCTGACATATTCTTTTCAGTTTCAGATGGCAATGGTGACTCCTCTGAAGTAGCATCCCCAGAAGAGCTACCCAATTGCTTCTCATGTTCCTTCTTGTTAATATTATTAGGTTCTTCAACCCAGTTTTCACTTCCATTCATTCCCAAACAATCCTGTTCCTTAGTGGGTTCTATCTTCTCCGGCGGTCCACTCGGATCTACTTGTTGCAAATCTTTAGTATTTTCATGGTTGTGAAGAGCAGGTATGTCAACATCTTTCAGCTGCTCAGCCTGATTGCTACACTTTGCCTTCAATGATGATCCAATAAACTCCTGGTTAAAGTTGTCAATATTCATTGCTCTAGGAGTCACATCAGGTCGTTGAACTTCAGATGTTCCTTCTATAGCAGATAAAGCACCAACTTTTTCCGCCTGATAATGAAACTTTAAATTATAGATTTATACGTTTGAATATTACTTTGTAAGTTTGAAAAAGAAAGAAAAAAATAACAGCATGAATAGCACATATGCATACACACACACACACACATATAGTCCCGTTCCTGTCGTGAGCTTCTGACCGGAACTGCTGTGTGGAATCCTCCATTTGAGGTGGTCCCTGGTGGAATTTTTCGATGAAATTTTGTGAGAATGTTCATGAGGTGTAGATTACGTACTCAAAACTTCAGCTTAAATTTCAATCGGAGAATCACTTAAATAAATTATTGAAAAACATTGCGCTGTTTATATATATAAAAGCGCAGTTCTTTTCAATAATTTATTTAACTGACCTCCTGATTGAATTTTATGGACATAATGTACACTTCATGAAGAACATTCTCACAAAATTTCATAAAAAAAATCCACCGGGAACCACCTCAAATGGCGAATTCCGCACAACAGTTCCGGCCAGGGGCTCCTGATATGATATGAACTGCCCTCCACACACACACACATATATATAATTTATTTAATTATTTATATATACTTATACATAACAAATGCATGTGAATCTGTTAAATAAATTGGAGGAGAAAAGGCAAATACAGGCTTAAACCCATTTGGCAACAGTTTAAATCAGAAAATTAGAGTTTACTGAGAAGACAGTCAATGGACAAAATTGCATATTTGCATGTAATGTAAAACAATTCAACTAGTGTGGTCATATTGTAAAGTCGAGATAACTTAGATTAGATTAAGGTTTACTAAGTTGTTCTTTGCACAGGAAAAACTTCTCGCCTGATAAGTATAGTTGTATACTTTATCACTCTGTAAGTCATTGGTCAGAAGATAAAGAAACTGCTGGCAAGTAGAAGAATTTGACCTAAGAGTGTTTTACAATAACAAAGACCTTGCTGTACCAAAAGAGTCATCTTCTGTGACTTACAGTAGGGTGACTGACATTCTGTACAGCATTATCACCTGGTTGTCTCATACCAAGGTTGCTGAACTCCAACTTTAAGGTCAAGTATCCTAATTCCTAACTACATGGGATATTAGTGCACCCTTTGCATTACCAACAACTTTGCATAACAAGTGGTGGCATAAATTGAAGAAGGTTTCCATGTCTTTCCACTGACGGGTCCTTACAATAGCATATCTTTTCTAACATCTATATATTATAGCAATCTTTGCCCTACCCCTATCCCTATCATCTAGCTGCATAGCTTCTAAAACAACCGAGCACTCATCTATCCAGGTGCATGTGTTGAACGAGCCAAAGTTAGAAACAAATTGTTTTATGAAAAATAAAAAGAAACAAGTACAAGAATACCACTTTTTCTTCCTCAGCAAGTTTACAGCAAAGTGTGAGAAATTGGTCAGTATAACCCTCCACTTTCATGCCCAAAAGCTTAACTGCCTTTAAAAGATGTGGGTTTAGTTTGGCAGCACACTTTTCCAAGACTTGATGTGCCAGCAACGATGACATAGGTGCATCCATCTGGTTAATGAACATAACTTAATTAATAATAAAATGATTAAAAATAGTATTTTGAACAAAGCAGTCGAGTTTTAAAAGGTTTATTGCCTGAGTTTTCTTTCTGAGGCATTCAAAAAGAGGGAAAAGAATATCCAATATTATTTCAGGACTTCCGTCACATTCTTCTATCATTTGGACCATGATTGCTTCCATGTTTTCTTTTTCACGATCGGGATGGTAGGGCCTTGATCAAAACACAAAAAGGTCAATTCAGTGTAATCACGGAGTTCCTTAAATATGGACCATGTTAGACAACAACAAAAGTACTCAAGCAGTTAAGAGAAGTGTGCATGTGTCAATACACATATCAATATAAGATTTAAAGGGATCCCCCTGGAGAGTTACATGATGATTTTGAGGGGCAGTTGGAATATGTTTAGAGCTAGCCAATCGTCAATATCCCACAGAGCCACAAACCCCCTGATGTTTACCATGCGTGCAAGAATTGATACAGCCTTTCTATAGTAGCCGCTAAGCACATGAGGTAAAGATTCAACCGATGCTATAAGTTGATGAAAAACAAGCTGAGAACCAAGAAACATGATTTTAGAAAATCAGGCAAGAAATAAATTATAAAAAGTAATAAACACTTATATAATTTGAAACATGCATGGTCAACCTTCATTTTCTCATTATCATACGGCCGAGATGGTGCTGTTATCCTCATAACTTCGACCATACATGATGCGACACAAGTTTCAATGAATTTATTAGGATGTAACAGAAACTTCCTATCACCCAATAATTCTTTGATAACATTGAAATCAGTTCTGAGCAGCTTGTGGGGACCCGGCACCATTCTACCCAATGCTGATTCAATTTTCTAAAAGAACAATGTAACAGAAAGAGTCAAGGGTTACTCATAAAACAATGATACTCAGGCAAAGTAAGAGTATGGTCCTTTAGTCCCATTTACAGCTAAAACCAAATGGAGAAGGAAATGCCAAAAAATGTTATGGCAAGCAACTACATTTTGAAATCTAATTTCAATTTCAAGTCTTCTTTTGTGCCCTTCATACATGCCAAAAGCCAGATATGCAGTAAAGCATGCAGAACATTACTAACAACCCCATAAACAGAATGACAACCCAAAGATTAGGCATTTCACTCGTTAAGGTGCACATGAGATCAGGAAACAAGTCATCACTTTCCTGGTGAAGACAACCCATCAGCATCAGACCAACTTCTTTAAGCATAAAAGATAATAAAAAAGCAATCTTTAAACGTAAAAAAACACAGGCTCACTTCAAGGAGGCTTAGAAGGTCGTCATTGTCAGGAGAAGTCGTTAACAGCTGAGCCTTAAGCTGTTTAACGTTCTCCATGAATTCAATTTGATGAGGCCTCAATGCAGAAGAAGAAGCCATCACTGTGAGCAAGCAGAGCTCTCAGTCGAGATTGAAAACCCCAGAAGAGAAAAGAGAAAATCAGGATAAAGAAATGCTGAGTAGGAAATGAGCAAAATCCTTGTAATCTTGACTGGATTCCGCTCCTTTTCTGCAAGCAATTAATTCCATTCCATACTAATAATACAAAATCCATAGCCGTTTCTCGTGAAGTCTTGCTCTGAAGTGAGTAAAAATGTGTCTTTGCTGGAATGAGGGCTGAGGAAAATGTGAAATGTGTACACGTGTCGCTATGTGGGTCAACGGGGAACCATGTCCCAATATTTTCCCTGCGGGTCCACAGATTTTCACAACAGAAACCGGCTCACACTGTTTAGAAGAGTATTTTGACTATTTTCTTAAAACAAGTACGGAATACAATACTTTCATTTTTTCAAATAATAATACTATTAATAAGAAATAAAAGAAACATTTGAACTGATATTAATCGGAGTAATTTATAAATATTAATCTAAATAATCTACAAACAGCGTATTTTCAAAAGTTCTCATTTATAATAATACTTTTAATAAGAACTTTTGTGTAATTATCCATTCGTAAATCCCCTTTATGAACAAATTTAATTGCTAACTAAAAAATGATTAGAATTTTTGAGCTACGTATAACTTTGCTATCTTGACAAATTTACGTTCATATTCAATTACAATATTAGACAATTAATTTTCAAATTGTTAAATTTGTTGTTAGAAGAAGTGTTGGGTTAATGGCCCAGGCTGAGGACCGGCCTATTTACCTTTTCTTCCGGACGTACGTCCAGGTAAGATCGCTGAGATAGCGCGGCAAGCCCATCTCATCCAGGATGGACGAACATCTTCAGATGGGGTTCAGTCTCAACAGCCCACCTCGACGAACGTCTATGCAGGGACAAGGAGCAGGACTACGGGCCACCTGAATGGCGACGGACGTCGTCAGAGCGAGCCCATAGTCATTGGAGGCAGTCCAGCCCACAGGGCGAGAATCCACAAGGGCCAGGGGATGAACGGCCGATACCCCTTGGAGGCCACCTGGAGCAATCCAGCTCGCTCCCCTGGCGGGCGAACGTCCCCACTAATTAGGCGGGAAACATAGATTCTGGCGGGAAGTGCATTTAATGCTAAAGATTTGGTGGTTGGGACTCCAGCGGTCCACAGGCTGCCACGTCAGTGTGGCCACCTGCTCATTGGTGGGTATAAATAGAAGCATTTATTTCATTGTAAAGGGTTGGCAACTTTCTATTCTTAGCATTTTAGCTATAGCATTCTTACTCGCAGCACTTCTACTGCCTTGTAAGACGAACGGCCGAGGGAGCCTTAGCGAAAAGTATTGTATTAGGGAGTTATTAAGAGATAATAATACCTAATCACTTGCTTGCTATTTTTATTGTTCTCCTTGATTCTTATTACTTGCTAGTTGGGCTAGTTTATTCACACATACTCCACTCGAGATCCTTGGGCTTACGTGTTGAACCCGAGGGTTGAAGGAATTAACCTCAACACTGGCGCCGTCTGTGGGAAACTGAACTAAAAGTTTCCAAAACTCTCCCAAACAGCTACTAAATCTATCCACAGCAAGCAAGATGACAAGGAACAATCGGCAACGTGACCTCTCCGAGCAGCTGTCCCGCGGGCGAAGCAACCGCGGGCAAACCACGGAACGCTCCGAGACATTGGGAACTACTGGGGGGAAGGTGGCCTCACCAACCTCATCCCCCACGAGGCCAGACGCGACCCCCGACTCATGAGGGAGTTGGCGGAAACAATGCGCTGGATGGCGGACGAACAGGAGGCGGAAGAAGAGGTGTATTCCGCTAACACCATCCGGACGCCCATATCGCCCATCCACCACATGCAATCCCTGGACGAGACGGCGGAGTCTGCCGGGCGTCGGACGCCCATCCACTTGAGGTTGGGCCAAAATCCATCCTCCCACGGGGCTGGGGGGCACACCAGCGCTAGCACCCCTCGTTATGGTTGGCAGGACGATCATCGGGGGCGCACACCGGATGTTCCCTCAGGACAGCAGGGCACCGCCATTACCCCCGCCGCCAGTAACATTGGACGACGTTTCCAAAGGCGTGGTGCCCACATCACCCGAAGGCAACCCGACGCGGTTGTCCCACGAAGGAACGTTGCGCTCGAGGCCGCCCCTCCTGTGTCCCCCGGAAGGGCCGCACAGGAGGCCCGGCTAGAGGCAATGGAGCGGCGAATAGCCGAAATGGACAGACGGGCGGAGGCTACCCCAGCTACGCCTCGTTTCTCCCTCACCTCACCGTTTACCCCGAGGGTCATGAACGCAGAGATCCCGCGGGACTGCAGACTCCCCGGAGGAATAGTATACAATGGGACCGGAGATCCCAAGGCTCATTTGATCAGCTTCCAGGGGAACCTCTTCATGCTGGGAGCATCCGATGAGGCCATCTGCCGACTTTTCTTCAGCACCCTGAGGGGCCCGGCGCAGGAGTGGTTTGGGCAGCTGAGGCCCGGATCTATTGATAACTACGAACAGCTGTCCCAGCAGTTCATGGCACAGTTCGCTGCCAGCACCACCCCCAAAAAGAGCTTCACATCGCTCACAAGTGTGAAGCAGGGGAAGGACGAGCCTCTGGCCAAATTTCTGGTCAGATGGAGAGACGAAGTGCTCCAGGTAGACGACCTGGACGAGCGGCTGGGAGTAAACATGTTCACCAGCGCTTTAGCAACAGGGGACCTATACCGGGACCTTCGGAGGAACCTCAGCACCAGCTACACCGAAGTGCTGGCTCGGGCACAAAAATATGCCTCCATTGAGGAGGAGATCAGGCTGAGGGACGCCGCACCCGCAGCTCCTCCCCGGAAATTGGCGGATAGGCTCGGCCCCGGAGGCAGACCATCCCCCCCGAACAAAAAGAAGAAGACGGACGGCGGTATGGTTCCGTGGAAGGCCCACCCTGAGGCAAGCCGCATACGACCGGAGGAGTACCACGTCCCCTTGGCTTACCCCGTGGGCCAAATCTTCGATGCCATCAAAGACAAGGGCATCCTAAGGGAGCCCCAAGACAAGAAGGCGCTTATGGGTCTTGATGAGACCGCATACTGCGAATACCACCAGAGGGTCGGCCACCTTACCGACAACTGCAAACAGCTGAGGATGGCCATCGACGAGCTGATCCGACAAGGCTACCTGGGCGAGTTCACCCAGCTACTAAAGAAGAATAGCCCAAGGCAGCCGAATCCGAGATCACGATCGTGGCGCCGCGACGATCGGCGCGAGGCGGAACCGAAGGATGTAGACTACCGAAGTGCCGATAAACGTCCGGAGGGGTCCCTCGGCCCGAACGGCGGGAAGAAGAAGTTGGAGATCAAGGTGATCTTCGGGGGCGCTGAAACTGGGGACACACCTGCGGAGCGGAAGAAGTTTGAGAGATCCCTATATGTGGGCTCCATATCAGCTCCCCCCACTAAAAGGAACAAGGTGGAGGCCATCACCTTTGGACCAGCCGACCTACCGATGTCACCGGCCCCTCACAGGGATGAGTTGGTGATCAGCATGGATATCAACAACGCGGTCATCCGCCGCGTCCTTGTTGACACGGGGAGCAGCGTGAACGTCCTCTACTGGGAGGCATTCGAAGGGATGAAGCTGAGGAAGGATCAGCTGGCCCCCCTACGCACCCCTCTTTCTGGCTTCACGGGGGACTGCATCGATGCGGAGGGCACCATTGGCCTCCCCGTGGAGATCGGGGATGGACCTCACACCACCCGCATCCGGATGACGTTCGTCGTGGTCCGCCTGAAGTGTGCTCACAACGCGATTTTGGGCCGGCCCGGCTTGGAAGACCTTGAGGCCATATGCTCCGTGCGGCACTCATGCATCAAGTTCCCCACCGAGACTGGAGTGGGAGTGGCCCGCACGGACCCACATATGGCCAGGGCCTGCTACACTAAAGCCATGGAGAGGTTCAGAGAGCGAGAAGCCCGGGTCAACAGCATCACTGAGAAAGCCAGACAGGCCGACTTCGATGCTCGTCTGGAACCAGCTGCCCTGCTCGAAGAGGTGGAATTGGATGACCCTTCGGACAGGAAGGTGTCCATTGGCGCCGACCTTGAGCCTGAGATCAAGGAGGGGGTCATAGCTGTCCTCCGGAAATTCAGAATCCTATTTGCAAGGGGGCCGGAGGACATGCCTGGAATAGACCCCAACCTCATATGTCACAGACTCGCCGTACGGCCGGATGCCAAACCCGTCCAACAAAAGAAGAGATACATGGCGGCTGACCGGCGAGACTTCATCAAAAAGGAGGCTACTACGCTCCTCAGCATTAGGCACATCCGGCCGGTCATCCACGTGGAGTGGTTGGCCAATGTGGTTTTAGCCCCAAAAGGCGACACGTGGCGGATGTGCGTCGATTACTCGGACCTCAACAAGGCCTGTCCGATGGATCCATATCCAGTGCCGAGGATCGACTTACTGGTAGACGAAACGGCGGGCTGCGAGCTGCTCAGCTTCATGGATGCATTCAGGGGATATCATCAGGTGTTCATGCACCCGGATGATGCAGAGAAAACGGTGTTCGTTACAGCAGATGGCGTGTACTGTTATGTGGTCATGCCGTTCGGCTTGAGGAACGTCATGGCTACTTTCCAGAGGATGATCGGGATGTTGTTCAAGGACGTACTGGGCAAGACCATGGAGGCTTATGTGGATGACATCCTGATCAAAAGCAAGAAGAAGGGAGACCACATCCGGGATATGGAGAGGATCTTTGCCATCATGGAGGGGGCTAGCATGAGGCTAAATCCGAAGAAATGTGCCTTTGCTGTCAAGGGCGGCAAATTCCTCGGCTACATGATGAGTGAGCGCGGGATCGAGCCCAACCCAGAGAAAGTAAAGGCAATAGTTGACATGGAAGCCCCAAAAAACCTGAAGGACGTACAACGACTCACCGGGCGTTTGGCAGCCCTGAGCCGGTTCATGTCAAAACTGGCGGACAAGGCGATCCCCTTCTTTCAGATCATGAAGAAGGCGAACCCCTTTGAATGGACGCCGGACTGCCAGGCTGCCTTTGAGGATTTCAAGGTATACCTCTCCTCCCCGCTCGTCCTCACCAAAGCGGATCCAGGGGAGCAGCTGTACATGTATCTGGCAGTGGCAGACCTGGCCGTGAGTGCTGTACTGCTGAAAGAGGCAGAGGGAGTTCAGCG